CAAAGCATAAGAGCTCTAACGCCAGTTTGCGATAAAGGCCGCATCAATCGAGCATGTAAGAGTCTCCGGGCCTGCCTTATGAGCCCCAGGGCCATATTACAAATCTAAGGATTCTCACCAACTCTGAAACCGGTCCGCCTGGTCAAGAGCAAAGCAGAAAGGGGTACAAAAGAAACAAAACCTCGAGTTCGTTGTTATTTACAAAATGTGAAAAGGTACATTCCCCATCTACAAACTAGAAGGTATCGCATGCAAAGTGGCAAAATCTACGCCCCACCCCTGAGGGCTATGACCTATCAGCCTCATCTTCACTCTCCTCAACATTAGGCAGAAGTGATCGAGCATCACGCTCGTCCGCCCTCGCTCGAGCCAGCTCTTCCGAGAGAACAAAACCCCTGGCGCCAATCTCTTCAAGTACCTTTTTTCGGGACCTGCAATGAACATATTCCTCAATCCTCTCTTCGCGATCAAGGGCCCTCTTCAACTCGGCTTGGGCATTAGTAGCGTCCTTCAAATGAATCGCCATCTCCTGATCAACCTTAGTCCGGCTCAATGCTGCTTCAGCCCGAGCATCAACGATCTCAGCCCTAACCTTCGAAAGTTCGGACTCAAGCTTCATGATCATATCCGCTTGAATTGAAGCATTGTCATGAGCCAAGTAGAGTTGGGCTTCGAAGGCAGGGACTTTAGCCAAGGCACCTATCTCCTCTGAAGCTTGAGCCTGCATCTGAGCTCTTAGCTCGCCACGGTCATTCCTAGCTCGGTCGACTTCACCCCTAAGGTGCTCTAGAGCCTCCGTTTTTTTCTACAACTGAGATAGGCAAAAAGTTAACCTAAAAGGTTAAAAGGCAAAACGCATACCACGAGAAGTTACCTGCTCCATCAAATAGCTCACGTAATTCAAGATCCGGTACACCTCAAACCGCCAGTGCATCAACTCAACTTCCTTCTCCTCGTAGAGGAGCCTAAGGGACTTACCCTCGTCCAGAGCTTTCCAAAGCGTAGCCCCATGACAGAGCAACTCAGACCTAAGCCTGTCAAAGGCCTGCAGAAGAAAAACTCGATAAGGAAGGGAAGACGCGAGATGTGGAAGACCTATGCCAAAACTCACCGCGAAGTGAAGCCGGCGGACTTCCTCGAAGGCCAAGCACACTTCTGTTGGTCCAGCCCCCTCGGTCCTTGAAGAACCAACCTCGGTCGAAGCATGATCATTCGGAGGAACCACCACTCCAGAACTGGAGACTTTAGGAAAAACAGGCTCGAGCGATGTTTTCTCCCCGAAGATGCGGACCCGTTCAGCCTCGCTAAAAGCTCCATCACACTGCGAGTGCATATCCCATTTATCACCATCATCCCTTGGCTCGGAAGCTGACAACTCCTCCCTTTCCGGAGGAGCACAACCTCACCCCTGGGGACCTTCTGATACCTACGACGGCAAGGTCAGTACATAAAAAGAGGAAAATGTCATCTCAAATATACGAAGGCCAAGGTAGAAGCAACGTACACACATACCTTGGTATTTCGCTTCCCATCTGCCCCAGGACATAGGTCACCACCTACGCTCGTCGCAAGTCGAATGGGTCGCCAACCTCCGGACCCAGTCGGGCATATCGGGAACTTCACCCGGCACCCATGAAGTTACTGCAGAAAAGGAGGAAACATAATTACTAAACTGGCCTTCGCCATGAGTGAATTTGAGAAAGCACGCAGCACTCCACTCACGCATATAATTCCATTCCTCGGGAATGGCATAAGTTCCATGGGGATAACGTCAGTCGTTCGGACCCGGACGAATCACTGACCCACTCTCGATCCCCATCCTCTTCATCATCTACGACAAAGGGCGTGGACGAACAACACCGCAAGGTTAGCAGGCCTCGATGATGAAAGGGTCGGTATAACCTGACGAGGTGACTGAGCGTGAATTCAAGTCCAACCTTCTCCGCAAAGAATCTCATCATCAGTACTAATCACCAAAATAACAGATGTATCTGCGCCAAAGTAACCCGATACTTTAAGCAGAAATCAAGCACGACCCTATCAAGGGGGCCTAGTGCAAAAGGGTACAAGTATACATTTAGGAATCCATCAGCGGGGTCCGTAATACCCTCATCCGGGGAAAGCGCCTGCAACACTACCCCCTCGTCCCATCCGCAGTCTCTCCTCACTATCTCTAGATATTCCTCTCTTACTGAAGATGTAGTCTTCAGAGTAAACTCTCGTAGATCCTGAGCATTGGGAGTGGAACTCTCCCCCTGCCGGGCAGGCCATGAAGTAGCAATCATGGCTATGGTAGAACTAGCAAACTGAAGCGGGATCCTACACAAGCGCTTTTGCGCTTAAGGTAACGAAGGACTCGACGCCAGGGCAGAAGTATAACTACCTAAAATAATGGAATCTTCCAAGAAACGGGAGCCACCCCATATATATGTAGGGAACAACAACGATTTGCCTACCCAGGATAGGCCCGGGGTGTCCAACGGCTTCGGTATGGATCCCGAGGTGATGCTTGACCCCGAGGACCTTCGTTAGAAGAAAGTTAGGCCCCAAAAGATCAGCGACATCGTCTCTAGTCCCGAGAAGGTATCCGACCTTGAAGGTTTCCTCTCAAGGAGAAAAATAAGCACTTCGAGATCCGTCTATGAGGGCTCGACCTCAGGAAGTCGCCTAAGTATGAATAACCCCTCCTCAAAGACCCGCCTACAACACCTTAAAAAGTTATCTACATCAAGCTCAAAGTAAAAACTCCAAGTGCCCGAAGTTGGCTTTCGCTTCGGTGCTCTATCTCCACGAGGCTCGAGGGCCCCGATGATCCAAGTTTACTGGATTGCTTCAGGCTTGATCCTGGGAACAACGATGAGCTTGGAAAGGAGCCATTTCTATCGACCAAAGACCGAAAAGAATATCGACGATCTTCAATAGCGACATACATTCAAGATCCCCACAAATGCACAAGAATACACAAGAATATGGCTAATATCAAAAGCATAAGTAAAGAAGATGTCCTTTTATTTCATAAATATTGGCTTACAACGGCCCCCCGGGGGTCCTTATATATAATTACAAAAGCCCGCAATGGGTCCTTACACAGAAACAAAGAAACAAAGGGGTATACACCCATAGTGAAAACCTAAGAACCTAGTCCATCCTCAAAGGTTCATATCAGATATCAGCATCCCCGAGCGTCGCCTCCTCGAGCTCGCATCCTCGGAGGCAACTCCTTCGACCGTCATCTCCTCTAGGTTCCCAGCTCAATCCCGCAGAAAGTCCTCGCCGAGGGAGAAAATGAAGAAGAGGAAAAGGGGGGGATGCAGAAGAGGCAGAGAAAAAAGACATAGCCCACCGTAGCCAAAGGTTGAAGATTCGGCGGGCCCTAGCCTTAGCGACCGGTTGTGCCATTTTATCCCTCGGGAAAGAAAAAACCCAAGGGATGAAGTGCCACACCAGGCCAAGGTAGGAGAGTGAGCAGCGGTGCATAGTCCGGATAACTTTCTAAAAAAGGGGAGAGTCGATTCCCAGTCTGTCATCACCTCGAGCCAATAAGGACAACAATAACAATCGCAACAACAACGGCAGCGACGACAAAACGATATAATCTCGACCGACAAAGGGAAGCTCAGGCAAGGGGCCACAATACAGCCTATAGGAGCGCTGCCAAACGACCTTGAGCCCGTAAACTCCAAACATGGTGATCAACAATAGAGGTGGATGGTAAGGAGAAAGGGATGAATGAACAAATGAAGACACTTGGATAGAAAAATGACACCGGAACACCCCATTTATAGGAGATAATGACACGGTCGTCGAGGCCTTTGGAAGACTGCTCGGCGGACGCAATTACTGCATTCTTGAAAAACCGAATCGACAGCGGTACTTTCACATTGGAGAACGGGAATCGACAATGCATTGAATGATGTCGAAAAGGCAAGTCCAGGGGATATCCCAGTTATCGTAAAAACTCGCGCCATAGGTTGCGTCATCGGTATGATGTCGTCACAGGAAGCTCGAGGAGTCAGGTATTAGAATCGTTTTCCATCACTTCGTTCTGAGAAGCGCGGAGACTATCTGTATGCGGCGAAACTAGAAGGCCTAATTTCTTACTATCGAGTCACTTCAGAAGAACACCTCGAAACCCCGAGGACGCCAAGCTGTGACCGAGTTCCCTCCCTCGGAGCTCGTCAAGGTCCGACTTAAAGAAGATACAGATCGAGGCTAGAGTCAAATGGGGAACTCCCCAGGAACATGGCTAAATCTGATAAAAGTCGACCTACCCGGAACCTGTGCCAATGCGTCACGTCCAGCCGTCCCATCTCCCCGCCTTTACAATTAATGTATTTTGTACTATTACGGGATTCCCCTCCTATATAAAGGGGATCCTCATCACTTTGTAAGGGGCTACTGTTGCTCCAACTACTCCAATTATTCTACGCAAAGTCAATAACAACTCTCTCTCTCTCTTTTCTCTCTAACTTACTCGCTCGAGGCTACCTCTTCATCTATTGTCTTCATACTTGTTCTTCATTTATTGCTTCATATTGGCCATAAAGAGCCTCCTTCAATTATATTCTAACTATTATTCCCTTTCCGGTTACCCCCGATAGCTCGAACTCGAGCTCAAGCATTGGCCTCGAGGCCCCTCATCGGTCAGTCTAGGACCGGATAACAAGCCCCCAGTTTGATTACTACCTCATTTTAGTTCGTATTTCGTTGATTAAGCTTCACATACCTAACATCCACTGCTCTAACAACTAGCATAAAAATATATCACATTTTTTTAGAGTCCCATCAACAAATTTAATTGTTATTTTCATATTCATGGTAAACACCAATGTTATAAAAGTAGTGCAAAAATATCCTTTCTTAGTTTAATAAAGGGTATGCACTATTTTTATAACGTGGAGGGTAATGAACTAGTAAGGTATAAATGATTATTTTCTAAGAGGCGTAATTTTGACCCTTTACCGTAACTATTTTTGGTGTATTAGAATATTCAGGGGTTGAAATCGGGGAGTTGGAGTCTGACAAAGGTTTTTCTTTTCTTCATCCCCGCTCTCGTTCTTTCAGCCTATATATTTCACCGCACTGCTTATACGCTCTCCTATAAACCAAACTCCCTACGTCCCATATCCAGACAGCTTCTTTCTGGTCATCTCAACTTCCAACATAGCAGCAAAAGCCCGAGCTCAATCAGCAATCAACGCAATCTCTACTCCTTTGAGGTAAGATTTCCACAAATATTGTCTTGTATTTATCTAATTACAGCTTCCAATTTGTTTTACAACTTTAAAATTTCTCATACACCTTTTAATGAGAGAACTGTACTAGACTTCATCATAATACGGCAAACCTAGTGTTTCTATCTCATATTTGACTCGCTACTCTAGGATCTTCCTGAGAACTGCGCTAAAGAAATTATCTTTGTACCTGGTCAACAAACATTTGCCTCGAAACACTGTCTAATAGATTCCTACATAATCCTATTGTCTTGGTACATGTTAGTTTGAGCTTGTTCAGTATGCACGTTGGGTGTTCGATGAAAATCCTTGTCACTTAAAGACACTATGGATTGGGCCAATTTGACGTGGCTTCACTTAGGTGTTTAGGCGGCGATTCCATATCTTCTCTATGCAAGACTTCCCCCATGTCTCTGCTGGACTGGCATGCAGTATTAACGATATAATCATGTATGACTGAAGTGAAGAATCCATTTTCTATGTTGTAAAGTAGGATTAATATTCTACGTTTAAGGGTTGGCGAGTAAGTGCACATTCCTTCATTACTGTAGTGTGGGGGAGAAGAGGAAGGATTTAAGGAAGCAAAGTACGGGACGATTGGAGAGTGTTTTCAATCTCTATAAATCTGGATCTGAATAGCAGACTTTCTTTTTTAGTTGCCATTAAGTCGCAAAAATAATATCAGGGGAGGAGGGATAATAATTTTCTATGGAACAAAATAATTGGCCCCAAATTGGCCCCTTCTCATTTTCTGCTCCTCCCTTGCATTCCCTTCTGTGAATCGAATATTTTGCAGGTTATTATTGTCCTTTGTGGATTGTGCATACTAGCTAATCATCTGATACAAATTAGTTTTTTTCTAAACTGCTTCTTAGCCATTTAAAGCTTCTACAATTTGGCATTTTAATTAATGCTGTAAATGAATGAATCTAGGATATGCTGAGTTGTCTTGCTAAGGAAGGGTGTTTTGGAAGATTTTGAGAAGTAGCATTGAAGAGGTAGAAATTTGAACTGACGAAAGAGGATGGAAGGCACATTTACCAATATTCCTCTTAGGATTTAGTGTCGGGCCTGCTTTCTGTGGCAATATTTTAAAGGTTTTGGACAAGTGTCTTAGCCATTCTAGAAGGCTATGCTAAGTGGCAAACTTGATCAGCCACTTTCTTGCCATGCACAACAAATTTACATACAATTACAATTATAAATAACCATCATTTGGCTGCACAATTCATCCACCATCAGAAGTGCTTTTCTACTTAGCCTTCTTCTCTTTCTTTCTTAACTTCTCTTATTTCCATTTTTTTGTCCTATTCTCTTTTCAATCTTGTTGGATTATTGTAATATAAATATTTTGCTGATTCCTGTAGCCTTTAAATAAAATAGAGGTAAGCTTGTTTAGTCCTGGAGAAACCTTTCACACTGCTGAAATAGTTTCTTTGGACGGTGCCCAGCACGACTCAAGCTAATTCGTGTATCTACTTACAACGAATATTGAAACAGTGTTATTGAAATTCTTGCTCTCAATTACTACACTTTCAACTCTAAGTGTGTCATCTTTTGAATGTAGCCCGAGTTCAAGATAGAGATACTTCCTTAGAATAGTCCATCTAGTTTGAAATTATCAGATTCAGTTCAAGACAACCAGAGTATTTGGCATGAAAGTTTTTCCAATTAAAAGGTAGACCACATGCATAATGACATATGCATTCAGAAAAGGACCACTTTCTGCAGAATTTTATCACCTTCCCAGCTGTTCCCTATTTTTTTTTTTTTTTTGATTTTCCCCGG